TCGGACAGCAGCAGCAGTAGAGTGGGAGCAGGCTTTCAGTCCAGCGAGACCCGAGGTAGCCTTGCAGGCGTTCGCAGGCCCTGGCGTCTCCTTTCATCTATATTCCTGTTTCTTTCATGTATTTCTGGAGACAGTGTCGAGTTTATTTCTTTCAGACCTTTATGTGTAGTATTCTTAGACCGTCTGTGAAACTGTGACACCAGTCTTGGGTAGAGGCTTTTGTTGAGATTTTTTTTGCATTTTACTCAGTTTTCTTTAATATTGAGACTTCCGCTTATTATTGAATTCGTTGTTCTTGTATTATTGTCGTAAATTGTTAAAAATGGATTAGATTATTAATGGACGAGTAATTAAATTTGGCTTGCCTAGCTCTCACTAGTAGGCGCCATCACGACTCCCGAGGGTGGGAAATCCAGGTCGTGACAAACACCCATACACAACTCTTCACCTCTTCTCTAAAATGATGCAATTTTTTGTAGTATTGGGTGTACATGCATGTTGTCATTTGCCAAATGAAAATTAAGGAGACTAGCTAGGAGACACTAGTAAGCAGCCAAGCACACTAGTTGTACAAATAAAAATGTTGAATCAAGTTACAATCTCACGACTATTCACAAGCAATTAGTACAAAGCTTGTTATATTTATTTTTTCAGATGGCCAGTGAAGTTAATGAAGTAGAAGAAGAAGTTGCATAACTAATAGAAAAGAGCTATACGTAAAGTGAATCTCAATAAAAAATCATGCTGGGAGTTCGACTTCACCAATTGCAACTCAAGCTTTTCTTTGGTTTTCCATCCAGTACTCGGTATTAATTTTGGTCCGATTAATTAGGATTTGCATCAGAAAATTACATTTTTAGAGTTAAGTATTCTCTAATAAAGATAATTTCATTCACATGACTCAAACACAAAACCTCTAATTAAGGATAAATAGACATTTTTCAGCCCAGACCAACCTTCGACATTGAGAGAAATAATATTTTATTGAATAGAAAAGAAACACTAGATATCACCAATAGACTTATTTTATCTTACTTATTAAAGTAATTAATAACAATTGAATCCCAAGTAAAAACACACCCTAGGTTGCGTGGTCAAGGCAATATTTTTAATTTTTTTCCATATTACTCATTGATTATTAGGGGAAAGACTTCTTCTATACCTTTTCATCAAAGTCGTCACTGAATTTTCGCCAGACAAAAAATAAAGTAAGAAAGAAATAAAATAAAATAAAATAATATGGTCTTTGGATGACCTCACCATATCACAATTTGATGGAGCCTTTCATGGAATTAAAAATTAAAATTCTTAGACTATAAAACCAAAAGATAGCTTATAATTAATGGAAACAATTCAATTTGTGGAAACATTGCTTTTGATCTTTCTTGGACAACTATTGCGAGATCATGATGAAAGATGAATCAAATCATATAAAAATATGAAAACTTTATGGGGCATAAGAAACAAGTATTTTAATTTGGAGGAGTAGAGTGATAATGATTTGATAATTGAAAGGTACATAAAGAAGTGAAAGTGATAAAAAATGAGCAGATAATGTAAAGATAGTGACAGCTGCTTGATAGGGAGAGAGATTTTATTATTAACTTCTAGAAATTGTAATATTTTGTCAAAAAAGATAGGTCTACCAGCAGCAATTGGGAATAGGCTTCGTAAAGGGCTATAATGGATGTAGCATATCATGGACACGTGTCGAGAGGGAGAAGAAAGTGTAATAAAAGAGGGTGAAAAAAGATAAAAACTGCATCGGAACGACAGAGTGAAGAGCTTTATAAAATACAACACAAGTTAATATACTACTAGTATGTATATTTTTGGGTTCGTTGTGGCGTAGCCCGATACACAGATCCGTGTATGCCTGAGCTTATAGTGGACAATATGTGTCGTAGGCTTTGGTCGTGACAGAGGAGGTATTTTCGTCAGATTAGTGTTCATTATATGCTATTGAGATAAAAAAAAAAAATTATATTCGGGATAAAATATTTTCTTACAAAGGAGAATTACATACTAAGAGTTCAATTGGTAACCTCTGATTAAGGATGAAGTACATGTCAATCACCACAACCCTTCTTGGTAAGTGTTTTTAGCATTTCTTTTTCTTGGAGCATTAGCATTAGAGGAAATTAAAATCATCTAATCTTTGCAATCCAAAAAAATTAAATTCTATTCTTGAATATAATTTTCAAATGATCAAATTTATTCATATCCAATTTCATCCAAATATTTCGTAGGACCAAAACTGGATTCTTATTCTTGAGATGAAGGAGGTTAGTAGGTAACAGTTTAATAAATTAAATTTTATAATAGTTTGTAGTTTTTTTGTTATAATATATTATATTTAGTACGAAAAAAAGTAGTGCGAAATAAAATAATTAAATTTGAGGATTAGTGAGCCACAACACTTTTGTATCCTCAAACAAAATGTCATGATCTTTTTCCCTTTTCATGAAAAGACCAAAAAAATTGCAATGGTTGAATGATGAATATCTTGTCACTAGATAGAAGCAAAAAAGAATCATACTAGTATAATAAAAGAAAAATATTTTTAGCAATTTAGAGTACAAAAACCAGACCCCTACCCATTCCTTCCCTTATTGATAAGTGGGAATTGAATTATTAGATGAGTGAGTGTGCAACTTTTGGGGAGCAAATAAGGATGGGACCCTAATTTCACCCCACAAAAAATTAATACTATGGTATCCAAGAAATTATATTCTCTTCATTATTCTTTCTTTACTGGCCATATACAAATTTTAAGGAAGTCTTGTTTTGACGTGCTTATAATAGGTAAGAACTTCTCACAAGAAAATAAGCGGAGTTAGAATTTAAGCGTTATGAGTTCTAAATTTTACAATAATAACATTGAGTTATAGTAACTGATTATAAATTAAAATTTTATATATATTTGATGAATATATTAATACAAATACAGTTTTTGAACTAAAATTATTGGGTTTGGCCAAATCCGTACATTCGACTTTTAGTTCCGCCCTGGACAACAGATATGAATCTTTCAACAGGGTAATCCACTGCTTGGAAATTTAAGTTTTTCGTTGGAAATAGAACTTAAATCTAACATTAATAACAAAATCAACTGCATAAGAGAGAAGCTTAACCTGTATTAAAAAAATGAGTAAATTTTATGGGTGATCATTCAACTTTATGTTCATTACCCAAAACTAACTTTTCTTTCTTTTGTTACACAAAAATTATTTTACTATGCTCTAGTTATTGGGGCATCTCCAATCCCCCATTTCTCCATAATGGGGGATTTTTTGCCATAATGGAGCTTCAATGCTCCCCCATTTTTGCCTCCAAACCAGGGGATGAACAGTGTTATTATTTTTATTATTTAACTATTTTAATTTATCTCTTTATATATATCTAATTATGTTTATGTAATATCTTTATAATATTAATTTTACTTTTTAACTTTGGCATATAATTTTGATAAATTAATTTTTATGCATTTATTATTGTTATGTAAAATTGTAAGTTAATTTTATTATAAGTTATAATTGTACAAAAAATATATAATCATCTCAAAAAATGAATGGTGCAAATATAAAATATTAAATGTTGCTAAAAGATAATAATATAATATTAAAGAGAGAGCAGAATATAAAATGAAATATTCTTTTTTGGAGAAAAAAATGGAGTAATGGTTGGAATAACTTTACTCCATTTTGGAGGAAAAAATGGAGGCAAGGGTTGGAGATAGCCTCACAATAATCACTTTGACCAAATTTTACAAATTTTTCACCTGAAAAGTCTATTATGCCACTGACATTATAAATCCTCCCATTTATTTAATACCTTATTATATGCTATATAATGAGTAGATAAAATACTTTTACGCAAGTATTTTACTTCTAATTAAAATAACTTAATATTATTTTATTTATCATTTTATAATATATTCGTACATTTAACTTTTTCTTAATATTAATTTTCAAGATATATAAATAGCATTATTAAATTGGTCAATAACATTACCGTGAACAAATCTCAAGTCCACGTTCTTAATCATATTTAATTTGAAAAATCAAAGCTCATTGATTTATCAGCCAAGTCATACCCATACCCATTAATTTAATAAATAAAATATCCACTTAGAAAAGTGATTTTTGAGTAATGAACAGAAAATTGAATGATTTTCACGTAACAAAAAAAGTAACTTTTGCGTAATGTGCACAAAGTTAAATGAACACCCATGAAATTTACTCTTAAAAAAAGTACTAGAATTTTCTACTATTAAGAAGAATAAAATTTAAACTTTTGATAATAATTATTTTGCACTCTTTTCTGCCCTTTTCCAGTGAATGCAGTGTAGTGATCATTCAAATGATGAGTGGCAACAAAAAATCAAAAGGGTAGAACGAAAGGAAAAGAAAGAATGACAATGACAGCAAAAAGGGAAGAAGAAAATAGAAAAAGGTTTTTAAAAAATAACTAATTAACAATAAGTACTTTTTGCATCAAATACATACTATTACTAGATACACTTGCTAAAAAAAGAAAGAAAAAATACGCTTGATAGTCTCCGTTTTCTTTAAATTCATGAAAGTAGCTTCTCCTTTGTTTTTTTTTTTTTTTTTTAAGATTTTCCTCTTATCACATTAACAAATACTAGTAGTTTTTTCTTTTTTCTTTTTTCATTATTATATCCTATGCCTTCTTTCATGTTGTTGTTACTGTTTGTATTACTGTCCCTTCTTTTTGTATTTTTTCTCGTGCCAAGAGTCTATAGAAAACAAATTTTTTTATCTGCATAAGGTAAAGATAAATACACTTGGTAATGCCTTCTTTATTTGAATTTTACTATTATTACACGCTCTTGTAACTTTTATCTTTTTAGTAGATAATTTGTTTTAATTTTAGTTAGTGTTATAAATATAAACAAAATTATTTATAAATATCCTGGTAGCGTAAATTTCTTTTGACCCTGTGGTAGTATTATAGTACTAGTTTCTTTGTTTTGGACTGTTTCCTCTTTCTTCTTTTTCTTTTTCTGACACCTCTCTCTCTCTCACTCACTCACTCACACACACACAGAGAGAGTCAGAGAGAGACTGATAGGCACGCGCGTACAAGCACAAGGCAAGGACAAATAGAGCATTTGGATTGTGATTCTACTGCAGACGACTAAGCATATAATGGGCTAATTCAATTGAGGCAAACTATTTTTCTTGGATGAGTGTGGAGGTGGAGGGGTGGACTTGTTCTTCAAGTCTTTAGGGCATCAAAATATCTTTTTTTCTGGGGATTTTTCAGGAACTCACTCCATTGTTGCTGATAGGTCAGGTTTCTTTTCAATTTGATTGTAAAGTTTCAATCTTTATACGTTTTCTTCACATGGGTTTTGCTTAAATTCTATCACTTGACCTCTCTTGCTCAATATTGACTTTCTTGAACTGTGTGGACTTGTTTTATCTTGTTATATGTGCAAGAGATGCTCTTTTTCTGTATTTATCATTCTGTGCTAGCTTTAGTTATTGTGTTACATACTGAGGTGAGAACAAATGCATTTTGACCCATTGCTCACCAAAGTTGCTTGTTGGTTTCTGATTTTTTTTAATCTTGAAACGCACAAGTTGTTTTTCTGCTAGTTGGTTTTGGAATATTCTTAGCATTTTTTCTCTTTCTGTTATTGCTAATGTTTGTTCATGTTAATGTAAATTCCAGGTGCAGTTTATTGATTGCTTTGATTTGTACAGTGTTATAAGGTGCCTCGGTATGGATTTGGTAAGGTTAATTATGTTATTATGCTGGTATTTAATTTATGTTTTTTGCTTAGTCGAATCAATGGGACTAGTACTTCATATAAAACTTTTCCTTTCAAGGTTGAATCTTAGGGGGAGCTTTTGCAGCTAAGCAGATGTTTTAATGAATTATCAGACAGGAAAGTTAAAACGATGGATAGACTGGATTTGAGATTCAATCACTCTGGATCCGAGAAATCAGAGGAGTCAGCCCTGGATTTGGAGAGGAACTGTTGTAACCATATAAACCTGCCTTTGTCAAGTTCACCACCACTGCAAGCCTTTGCATCAGGTTGTCAGCTCTCTGAGAGCAATGCTGCCTACTTCTCATGGCCTAGCCACTTGGATGCAGCTGAGAACCGCGCCAATTACTTTGGTAACCTTCAGAAGGGGGTTCTACCTGAAACCCTGGGGCGGCTTCCCACGGGACAGCAAGCCACGACATTGCTTGAAGTTATGACCATTAGGGCATTCCATAGCAAAAACTTGCGCCGCTTTAGTCTTGGTACAGCAATCGGATTTCGTATCCGGCGAGGTGCTTTGACAGACATACCAGCTATTCTTGTCTTTGTTGCCAGAAAAGTTCACAGGCAATGGCTCAGTCTTGTCCAATGTCTACCAGCTTTTCTCGAGGTTTAATCTTGTTGGAACTCCTGTACTTGCATTTGGTAGTTTTAATGTAATAATTATATTTCTTAGGTGGCCCTCATGAATTAAGGTTTCCTATCAGTTTTTCTCATTATCTGTCCTTGTTCTTCATAAAAACATGGTTAAATAGTAAACGAATTTCACCCAGCAGTTAAAATTCCTGCGTCTCAATGTGGAGAAGATCTGCAGATTCATTAACTTTTTAATGTTCTTTTGATAATGATGGTGTCGGGGCCAACTTTGATTCATTGACCTTTTCAGACGTCTTACTATCCTGCCAATACTTTTGGGCTTGATGAATCTTTTGTAATTGGGCAGGGACCTGGTGGTGTTTGGTGTGATGTTGATGTTGTGGAGTTCTCATACTTTGGTGCACCGGCAGCAACTCCAAAGGAACAGCTATATACTGAACTTGTTGATGGTTTGCGGGGAAGTGATCCATGCATTGGTTCTGGTTCCCAGGTAATTGACTCTTCTTGGTTATGAAAAACTATATATATTGATAAATGAGAATGTCCTTACATTACTATGCATCAAGATGGTCAAATAACTACAAGTGCTTAGCACTGATCTCCCAGGAAGGGAAAATTATGAGTTGCCGGGCCGAGGGTCTTGAACTCCTGGGAAATGCAATTCATCCTTAGAATTCAACCTGTCGACAACTTCTAATTAAATGAGATTTCATATACATCCTTATTTTGGGTTTTCTGGCATTAAGGAAATAAAAAGGGAAAAAACTCTAGCAACTACAGGTTTCAGCAGGTAACTGTTTGTATGTACGAGTATACCTTATGCAAAACCAGTTTCCATTTTTTCAAAAAAAGAAAGCACTGAGCTTCCAGAAAATCTACCCAACTACCTTGGGGATGTTTTCTTTATGCCAAAAGTGAAGGTGAAATATTAGACTCTTAATCCTCTATGATGATTTCCCTTAGTTGTAGTGTAAACTATTGTAAATGGGCAGATGCAATTTTCACTATGCATCTTCTTGATGCTTTTTAATGAAGTCCCATTACTTCATCCAAAAAAAAATAAATCTATGTTGATTTCTCAACTTCATCAAATATTCATCTCCGTTCCTATTCGCCTATTCGTCCAAACAATGCATAAGCAGACTAGTCGCCAGAACTTCCTCATCTATTTCCCTATTTTTTTCGATCTCCATGTTACTATGGTCTCCTCCGCTGATCTTGGCGAGAAGTAAGAACTCAAGGAATACACTGAACTCTATAGCTACTGCAAATGCGCAACAAAGGAGCGGATGATTCATGTCCTTCCTGTTCCTTTTGCACATACAACACCAATTCAAGTTATGTGCTGTTAGAGTAGCATCCCTTTTTTTTTCTTGGTAACGTGTGCCGCATGGTAACATTCCCTGCGGCACACCTTACCAAGAAAGCTACTTTTGGGAGCCTTATTCCACAAATACACTCCTATAGAGTTTCCTAACTTACTTGTATCCAGACATTTGTAATATGATCTCCTTGAAAAACATTCCACTGCGGAACCTCTCCACAACGTCCTATCACTGCCCTTTACAATGTCAACGTTGTAAACCTTAAACCTTCCGACGGTCTCCACCTTATCCCATTCCTGAGTTTGGATATTTTTCTAAGGATATGTCCGTGGTCCATCCTTATGCATCCCTTCATTGTTGGTTATGATGCATTTTTCCTTTTATGTAAGTCTTTTATCCCGTTGTGGTTGACTTGATTCCTGCTACACCCATTAGAGTAAAATGATATTGCTAGGTGTGCTAGTCTGATAATGAGAAAGTGGTAGACGTATCGTCGTATCACTAATGACTAATCTAGTGAGAATTCCTTCTTGGTCCTTTTTTTTTCATCCTCAAAAAAAGGACGAAGAGAAAAAAAAACAATTAGCAAACGAGAAAGTAAATTATGGGAGTTGGTATATGCATAACTCAGAAAAGCTAGGCTTTCACTTGGATATTTTTGATGCAAAAAGAAAATAAACTTAGTGTTTTATGATTGGTCTCAAAAACCAATCATGGTTTTATAAATATAAGGTGAACTTGTGCATTAGCCATGGGAAATTTTCTTGCTAATCTTAGACAAACTCGGGATTTATGATCCCTGGTAAGAGCGGCTCAAGATCGTCGGATCCTTTTCTATCACATGGGGAGTGTTGTAGCACAAAATGTAGTTATAAGTAATAGCTCCAACAGATCCTATATTTATCAACATGAAGAAACTAAGTAATGGAGGGGATTGATTTATTCTGTTAACGTGAAATCCGTCAATGACATAACTATGTAAGTACAATCACATCTCTGAAAGTGTAAGTATCGTATCAAGGGCATCAATCACAGGATATCCTTGTCTCTATAGTTCAGGAATATACTATTTGTATCGACAAACTGGTGCTCGATACAATTACTCTACCAATATAACACATTCAATATGAATCTTCCAAAACCTTCATGAACTGTGAGCATCAATCGCTGCAACTCCAACGGTTGAACTTTTTGAGTCAATCTATCTGATCCGTTTCGTCTCTTTCTTCTGGCACTACCTACATAGGAGAGCACCAGCTACCATAAATTTCTAGATTTCTCTATAGTCTATCCAGTATCCATCACCTTACAGCACCATCTTAAGACTGCTATGACACCTCAATTTTTTTAAACGTCAAGTGCCCCTGCAACATCCTCTCCCCCTTCTTTAGGTGGGCACGCTCTCCTCATCCAGTGCTTTAACAGACTTATAATCTGTATAGGACTCGACTATGCTGTAATCATCAAATTTTCAAAACATTAAAAAGTGTTTCCTAATGAGCAATATACAAATATTTACATGATAGACTGTCCAAATGAGTTTTATCAAATTGAGATATTGACATGTAAAGTAGGCAAATATTATTTATTCTATGCTCGACCTTTGAGGAACTATTTTTTCGAGTTTTCCATGTCAATCAGAACGAGAACCCTGTTTCTTCCACCTCTTTGTTTGTTCGTTTGTTTTTTGTTCTTTTCTTGTACAATTGGAAGCATATTTAGAAGACTCTTTTGGTTACCTTGTTTCTAAGGGACGGCATTGGTACAAGGTAGAAGATCTTTTAATTCATGAATCCGGAATGTGTATTTGGTTATTATCTAAATGTTGAGTTAATTTCATTCTATCTTCATTAAGAAGAGTTATCTTTGTCGAATAAATTTTTTTTTTTTTTTTGATAAGGTGGTTGAATCAAGAATTTTGTGTATTTAAATTCCTGACTCAACATGAAATAAAGGCGTAGAACTATTCTAGAGTGAGAATCTCCTCCTTTCTAGAATGCCGACTAGATTTCAAGAAATCAAATATCTTCAAATGACTAGAAGATGAAGAGCTTTAAGTCGTATAAGAACGTAGCACCTTGCTCTCCTTCATGCCATATGTGATTTTCTGGAGTAGCATAGTAGAGAATTAAAGGATGTTCAATCTGGGTAGTGGAGGAGTGGACAAGAGGAAGGAGTTCCTCAACACTTGTTTGGTGCGACATTTCAACTGCCAAACAAGGTCGATGGGAGTAATCACCAACTTGGCTATGAGAGCTTTGAGGGTAATGGCAGAAGGTGGCCTAATTTGGCAATGCTCTGTGCAGTTTTTATCGGTCAAACGGAAGCTAGTCGTGTGTTCAAGATATGTCACTTGCATACACCTATTCAATGCTTAACTGATTGTCATTTAAAGCTGGTTGCTGCACTATGCGAAGAAATACAATGTATTGGTGGTGAGTCTGGTGGGATCACCAATTCATCCATGGTGTCTTAATATGTTTTGACAAATAGGCAATGCTTTAGAGGCTACTTGGATATTGATCTGCTTTTCTGATTGAAGCTGGGCATTATTCTTCTTCCTTACTGGGATTTTACCACAGAAACGAATTGAACTCATAACAAATCCTAGAGATGGAGCACACAGAAATAAACAAAAAGGTGGGAGTCATAAACCATGGCCGATGCAATAGATGAAGAACAATAGCACCGATGAAACGTTGACTTCAACTGTTCATTCACCTAGGGTGGTAAAGATGAAGACCAATTTTGACTTAGTTTTCACATATATCAAGTTGGGCTATAATTGGGTCAATTCCGAGGACTTTTTTCCACCTTCCAACGGGTTAATAACAAAAAATATGATCAAACACCAGAAGAAAAAGGGGAACAATTTGAAAGAATATGAGCCAGCCCATTCTGCTGAAGTAGGGAAGAAATAGTGCAGCTCAGGCAAAAATTATTTTTATTTGAATTCAAACATCTCTACTCCGCATTTCTCGCCTCTGAATCTGACTTTAATCACTTTTCTCATTGGCATGGCTTTCATACTGGACATCTAAGGCTAAGAGACAAAGAGTTACTGCTCTTCGAATTAAGGTTGTTAACTATCAAGAGGCTTTCGGGACTAACATACTGTCACTCCCCTGTCTCATTTTATGTGACATGCTTTCCGTTGTAGTATGTCCCCAAAAGAAAAACATCTTTCTGTTTTTGAAATAATCTAATGTTATCATCCTTTTTACCCTTAATGAAATAGACTTGTTGGGACCCACTTAGTATAAAAGTTCATTCTTTTATGAGGAAAGAAAAAATAAAGACATGTGGAGCTCTCCCCACCACTCATTTAAAAGGGTAATTTTGGTACTTTGCATATATTTGAGTTACACGTCTAAGGTTTTTTTTTTTTATTTTTTTTTTATTTTTTTATTTTAAATTTCTTAAACTTCATTGCCCAGTCAAAAAGCACTTAGGCATGTATTCTTTTCTTTCTGTTCATTTTGGGTAACTAATGGAACATTGAAAATATTTATTGGCCCGTTGGATCATATGGTTTAACCATAATTGGTGAATTGTGTTTACAAACTCATTTAAAAGTTTGAAATATTTAAAAGAGACACTTCTATTTATTCACTTGTTTCTATAACATGTCTCTTCACTGCTAACCTATTTCTATTTCTTGGACCTATCACGTGAAATGTTTTCTTCATGGATGGCAGGGGGATTTGAATGTAGGATCTCTATCTGTTTCTTTATATTTTAGTGTTAGGCATAATAATAAATAGATAATTATGCAATGTGGACAAATTGTTAAATGGTTTACCGGTTGATTGATCTAAAATGGATTGCTTTTCTAGCCTCACCAATGTATGCTATTTATGTACTTCTAATCCTCTTTTCCTTGCATATCTAATCCTAGTCATTTTTGTGATTTAGAGGCAAAAAGTGGATTTGATGTCAGCCTACTGTGAAAGTGATTGATTTGACTTCAAAAATATTCTTGGCGTTTGCAATTTCCTCCCTTACGCTTAAATAACTTTTTAACTTCAAAAATACTAATACGCCTCTGCTGTCTTTTGTCAGACTCAGTATTACAGCACTAAATCTTGTACTTTCTTTGTCCTATTTTTTCCCTGTTTAGAATGGACCTAAATTTTATTAAGTAGAGTTAAAATTGCAAGTAATTTGAAGAGAATGGGCCCTCAAGCTGGTAATAGAGGTACTTGTATGATTTAGAGATTTCATAAACTTAACAGTGGGACCAGTGTAACTTCTGAAGTTAGTTATAGTATTTAAAAGTTAATTCGTCGTTAACAAAAAAGAATTCTCTTTAAGAATGTTGACACCAAGCCCATGTTGAACAACCCAAAAAGGAAACTAAGATAGATGGAATAGTTACATTTCTTGATCATGCAGATCTATTGTCTTAATTGATTTGGCTTCACATAACATTGTATAGTGAAGCAACCTTTTCTCTTTCATCTGTCCTAGGTTGCTAGTCAGGAAACATATGGAACCTTGGGCGCAATTGTTAAAAGTCGGACTGGAAACAGGCAGGTCGGTTTCCTTACTAATCGTCATGTTGCAGTTGACTTGGATTTTCCAAGTCAGAAAATGTTTCATCCCCTGCCACCTAGCCTGGGGCCTGGGGTGTATTTAGGTGCTGTGGAGAGGGCTACATCCTTCATTACTGATGATCTTTGGTATGACATATTTGCTGGTACAAACCCAGGTAATGTGAAAAATGTCAGTTTGTTCTTTGTTGTATTGTTTACTTTGAGAATAATAGTAGTGTTTCGAATTGGGTCCTGACACCCATGTGTTCTCATTGTGAATATTGCAGAAACATTTGTTCGAGCTGATGGAGCATTTATTCCATTTGCAGAAGATTTCGACATGTTGAATGTAACGACATCTGTGAAAGGAATAGGAGAGATAGGTGATGTCAATAAAATAGACCTACAATCTCCTGTTTGTAGCGTCATTGGTAGGCAAGTGGTGAAAGTTGGAAGGAGCTCCGGTCTAACCACTGGGAACATTATGGCCTATGCCCTGGAGTATAATGATGAAAAAGGAATTTGTTTCTTTACAGATTTTCTAGTTGTTGGTGAGAACCAGCAGACTTTTGATCTTGAAGGTGACAGTGGTAGCCTCATTCTCTTGACTAGTCCAAATGGGGAGAAGCCACGACCTATTGGAATAATTTGGGGTGGGACTGCCAATCGAGGTCGTTTAAAATTGAAAGTTGGCCAACCTCCTGAGAATTGGACTAGTGGGGTTGACTTGGGCCGTCTCCTTGATCTTCTTGAACTCGATCTCATTACATCCAATGAGAGTCTTCAAGGTTGGTATTTCTCAGAATCTTGGATTTCTAAATTTTTGCCTTCAAATTTCCTTCTTCTGTGTCATTTTCATTACTTCTTCTCTATAGTCTCTGCATATCTATTCACTTTCTCTAAATTAGTTGCACTGCAAGAGCAAAGAAATGCATCAGCTGCGGGTATTGGCTCTGCGGTTGGAGAGTCGTCACCAGCGGAGCGGATACAATTGAAAGATAATACTGAAGAGATCTTTGAGCCAATTAATTTAAACATCCGACAAGATCCTGTTGATGATGAGTCCGACCAAGGAATAACTCCACTACTTGGGCATCAAGAGTTTCACATTCGGGGTGGGAATAAAGTAACTCCTAGAGTTGAGCATCAGTTTATCCCAGGTGTCTCGGGTACTTCACTAGTATGCCAGAAGATTCAACCTGGCAATGGGGAATTGAAAAGACTCTCGGTGATAGGTGGGTCGGATGAAGCGATGTATGTTTCTTTGCAGTTAGGGGAGCGTGAACAAAAGAGAAGGAAACAGTCTTGAGGTTCAGTTCGCCATATGAGCAGCCAAAATAAAGGTGAATCGCCTCATTTTATATGCTTCATTTGTCTTGGGGAGGCTCAGTTGCAAGTATATATCGGTAGTGCCCACGCACTGAATTGTGCGTACTTCGAAGTTTTTGAGCTCCTAGGAGAAATTTAAGCCTCCCACCGATATGAGTATTATTCTTTTTCACTTTTAATTCATGAAGCTACATCTATAGGTTAGATATTAAGCTGTACAATATGTAAGAAATGTGTTTAGAAGAGAACTGCATCTGTTTTGTATCTGGTTGTATCATTTCTGTGAAGCTGTCATACAAAATCTATGAAGTGGAGGAAGCCCCAGAACTGTTCTATGATGAACTGCATCGTAGTTTAGCCATTTGTATCCATCTCTTTGCTCACAATGAAAGATCAGAGAATGTGCAACTTTCCAGGGAACTATTACAAAAAGGTATTTTGAGTAGCTGCAATTATTCAGCATGTATATGAATCTCTGCTTCTCTATTCCACAAAAGTAGTATGAGTTTTGAGTTCATTCGCGAAAGGCCCTTGTTCGTGTCGGTTTGGATTGTTCACCAAATTCATGTTTAAAACTGTTCTTTAAAGGTCATTATTTTGATTAGCATAGCAACTTTCAGTGGCTTCATTGCTGTGGTACAGAGGAAAATGCCCTTGTAAAATGTTTGCACTGTTAAGTTTGTAAGTGAAATATTTTCTATATTTTTTTAATTGAAATCATTAGTAGTACGCTATGCATTGATGAAATTTTTTAGTTTAACAATTGATACGTTCTAATAAGAATTAGTTGGAGCAGCTAATATAGAACACATGTTGAGACGCTTGTAAATGACGGTATATTTTTTGCCCATAAATAAGGTAGGTAATACGTACTTTTGATAAAAGAATGTTTTCTTATAATCATACGTCAGACAATGATTAATTAAAAATATTTAATCACCACACACGCAAAGATTTGTGCTTCTAAAAGAGTACCCACTGAGCCTACTATATTGACTTTGATCTTAGTACGATTTTTTCAAATTGAAGTGACAGAAGAAAATACTATCAGGACAAAGAATCCCAATATGCGTGCATTGTGCAGATAATCGAGGTCCATAATATTTCAACAGACCGCAACCTATTCACAAAGAGTTAAAAGAAGTCTTCAGCTGTATCTTGAATTTGGAGGTGATGGCTTAATGAAGTATTTTACCTTTAAGACTGTTCCACTCCTCACAGCCATAGTGCTCATTAACCATGAGTCGTTACGGCTGCAGGGTAAATTTTGATCATACCTTGAAAAGCACAATAGTCCAAATGGACAAACAATTTTCATGAAGTACAACAAATCCAGAAAACTGACGAATCTAGCAAATCAGCCTATTGGACTCAGATTCTCCATTGAGTGATCCATATGTACCCTTTAGACATACAACTCACCATTAATCGAATTGCAGATGGTGTTGTGCGAGCAAGCAAGAAACCAAGTCTCTTATTTGACTGATACACAATACATACATGGTTATTCGAATATGCACATATATACATAGTTATGTTCAGTATTTTGTTGCTTTTCATTTCTTGAGAGTTCGGGAATACAACTAGTTGGTATATACAGAAGGGATTGCCTCAAGAATAGGCAGATAGAAACGCAACAAAAGAGCCCCTTTGACCTTTGACGTGGTAAAAGTTTCAAGCACTTGCAGAGACAGACATCGCATTTAACTCGACATGCTGCTTACCTTCACTCTTAGGGTGGACAATGACAGTGGCATGGGCTTCTTCCCATGTAGTTTTGTCACCTCCAACATGAGAGACAGATAGAGAACCCACCTTAGGCTTTCCGCTAGCTGCATTCTCTTCGCCATCCTGGCCTTCTGAAACAATTTCCCACTCCTCTTTAAGAGAGATTACATCCAAGCCTTTCTCATGGTGCCTTTCGATGTCAAATGCAGTGGGTAGGATAACATAATCGTTGATTGGATTGTAATAAGGATCATGATCTGCTCTTAACCAGTGTTTGACTACTCTAAACACATGGCGGTCACAAATAATTCCTCTGTGATCCCCAGGGACTCCAACCCTAGCTTCTGCATTAAGCCCATCAGCCTGAAAAAGGGATAGCACATTAAACCATATACCTTTGACCAGGGAATGTCAGGATCAGTTGGCTGTAAAAGCTTATAGAGTAAACAATCACATCTACCATTAGTCTGCAGGTTAGGTTAGCTGAAGAAATCCAATGGTCCCTTTCAACAGAGCTCTTATTCAATGAGAACTTTGTTCAGATTCTAACATCCAAAAGCAGGAAACAAAAGGATACCAGGCAGAACAACGCAAAGCACAGCTCTCTCTCACAATCTAAGATGCTCAACTTTAAAGATGTAACTGTGGGAAAGGATAGGATTTAGATCTAGAACCATAAGACATATACCCTAAGCTAAAATCTCGTGCTAATGAACATCTTTAATAGCAAGAGCAATTTAGCAAGGAAAGATGACAAACGAGAAAAGTTTATATTAGACATTAACCCTCTTAACGCAATATGTTAAGAATACATGAAATACCTTAGGCTAAAGAATCTGCTATAACCAAATATATGCTTTACCCCTTCCTTCCTTCCATTTTCCCCCTATAACATCCCAGGTCCTAGCAGAAAAACAGTGGTTACCACATTTTATGATACACTAGTTCCAATTTGGCGAGCAAAAGAGAACATACAAAGTCGGACTAAAGTATTATTGAAGATCTCTCGAGCGATGACAAGAAAACAATTATATCACGACTACATGAGGAAAAATGTATATTATATACCTTCGCAGATTCTGCAGGAACTGTACCATCTCCATCAACCGAAATGTAGTTAGACTGTGAATATGCATAAAAGATGCTAGTCAGTGAGAGCAGTATGAAAAACAAAAATAGGGAAAAATGAAGCTACATAATTAGTATCCAGTCGGCCCAGTCCAAAAGTAAAATAAAACAATTTTACCTGGATAAATGGTAATTGTTGAAGATCAGAAATGGGTGCATTCTCACTTCCATAACTGCAAAGCAGCCAATTCAGTGACCAGATTCTCGTGAATTAAGAACTATACACAGTATATAAACTACAAATATATGCCATTATTCACATAAATTCAGACTAGTGATAATAAATTGAATCCAAACATTTAGGAAAGAATATAGTACCAGACACTGTGAGGCGTCTTGTAATTGGTGCCGTAGATGTTGTAAAACTTAACTTTTTCAGGAACCTTGGCATGGCGCAAAATCTCTCGGGTCTTGTTAGCCCAGCTCAAAAGTTCCTGGTTGAATGGCAAGGAAATTTTTTCGCCATTATAGTTAACCTGCAAAGACATAGGGAAAAATGAATTTTATGGTTTCCATTCGAACTCATGAAAGGATGAAAAATCATCACCACTAATAATAATAAAACATGTCTGGTTCAAGGTCAATACACAGGCTCAAGAGAGGGAAAAAGGAAAGCCTAGGTACTTCAATGATGATAAGTCTATGACCTATCCACAAACCCTGCAATGTGGAGACCTCATGAATTGACCAGCTTTTCAGCATAAATTGTATGACATACTATTCCATGGCCAGCTCACCTTGTTATTTGAAAGAGCTAGCTCATACACTGATACAGCTTCCAATGGAGAGTAAGACTCCAGTGTAACGGTAGACTCCCCATTAGACTCCCCATTACTGTTAGATTTCTCCTTCCAAATTTCTAAAACTGGCGCATGTTCCCATTGGAAATCAGGACATCCCATTAATTCATATATTGATGGACACTCGATCAACTGCCAGTCCAAATATCAGGTGTTATTGATCTATCAAAGAAAGCAATATTTTGCTACAAAAATTGTATTCAAAGTAGCTTCTTGTCCATGTTGCAAGACAAAATGGATGCCAAAATATGCAACTCAAGTCTAACCAATAAATAGACCAAAGAAATTATCCAAAAAATGACAAATGGAACACATAATAATTAGAATGGAGATTATATTATCTAGAAAACCACCCTTATGAACGTAGAGTAGCACAGTGGGTTAAATCACATCAAGAAATTTAAAGCCTTCAAAAATATGCAAAGCAGTGCCTCCGCAGATCATTAATTACATTTTTAGATTGACCAACATATGTAAGAAATACACAACGAAACTCCACAAGATGGCAGAAACATAGAAGAATACTGACCAGTTTTTGTTATAATTGAAAAGGAAACTCAATTAGCTATCCAAACAGGGCAAGGAATCCAAATCACAATATATGCAAAGGGATAGAGGAACAAGAGAAAAGGGAAAATTTTATGATCATGTTGTAGTTCAAGTGGGACTGAAATACAAACCAGCTGATGCATACTCCATTTGGATATGAAAAACCGCTCTTCCCACCCATGCACAAATGACGTTCCGTTCAATAATGCCGAGGTAATATATCCAGGAGCGCCTGTAATGTGATAATCACACATAAGAATCGAATCAATCAGGAAATCAAATTGAAAAACAATAAAACAGAAAAGAACACCATGAACAAAATCACTAAAATTAATTTCAAAATTATAACCTAAGAGATTGGATATTATCCCTTGGCAGATCTAAGGTTCCACACCAAATTGATAACGGCATGACTATACAAAATGCAAATTATTCTACAATCAGTTTCCTGGAAAGCTCCCATTTCTGAAGGGCGAGTAAGGTTAAAAGTAAAGCAGCAGTACAAACTTAGTTCTTAGCTGTTTTCACTAGTAGCACGTCTATTTTCTGAGCCCCACCCCCACCTCCACTCCAACCCCACAACCTAAATGAAAGAGTGAGAGGGGGAGAGAGAGAGAGTATCGGTATTTACATGTATATAAATTTGAAGTGCATCTGTACGTACATGTATATGGATGGATAGATAGATGAAATTAAGACTTTCCAAGTGAACTTAGAAAAGTTAATTTGAAATATGGGGACATCATTGCGATAAAATGCAGCTTACTAGAAAAGACAAAGAGTTGCTTACCCTGGAATGGTGCAGCTATTGCAATCCAATTCTTCACATATTTTTCAAAGATCTGCAAATGCAACATTTATTACAATATTAAAACTAAAATAAAGATTTTTAGGGCTAAGAAGAGTGGTTAGGAAGTGTCGGAGGAGCAAGACTACAAATAAGAACAGGACAAGAGGCTTTACATCGCTGTGGAGAGCCATGAAACATTTAACAAGAAGACCACCCATAGAATGACTTATGATGTTTATCTTTTTGCCTCCTGACGCAGTATGTATAGATTCTAACTTTTGAGTGAAACACTCCATTGTTCCCTGAAGCCTGCAGAATAAGAAAAGGAAAGGGAAAATTTTCAGCATTAATAAACATATGGAAACATATTCAACACAAGATATAATACTTCTGTAACATTTAAAACTAGACATAGAGCAATGTTTGAGTGTGTCACCAACAAAATTAAGATAATAAACAATATCGAGATATGTTAACGGAGAAACACCACACAGACAGTTTTGGTTATTAACCTTGCCCAAATATTGTAAAGCAAGAGATCAGATCTGTAAACGACATCTCTGCTTCTATTCTTCAAGGAGGATTGAGAAACAAGCACAATTAGCAATATTCTTTTTTCTTTATAAAAGCTTCAATAAAATTAGCAAAATTAATTAACAGGAAAAAAATATTTGAAAATAATTAACAGCAAAATTTTTACTCGAAACCATGTTGAATATCTATAAAATGACCAGCCGCTACCTGTTACTTTGCCGGAAATCATAGCCAAACCCAAAGAGAGTTTTTCCCTCTTGGTAACCCCAGCTGAGCATCTCAGCTATCATATCATGGAAATAATACACACAATCAGAGCCAATAACCTGCAAAGAGGACGAGGCAAAGTAGTCAAACTTCTGATTTCATAAAAGTCATTACTTTATTTAGGCTCTTTAATATCATAGCTAATACAACGAGCACTGCCTTTAATACTTAAAAGGTCATCAAGAAAAAGGTCAATTGGCTGCCAGAACACAAACCCTTCGTTCTCTCCTCTACTGAAAGGTGATGGCGATATAGTACTTTTTCCCTGCCCCCTATTCCACTACAGCTCCCCTGACCATTTATTTTGCCTATACATCATAAGGTTCAATCTTACTGCATTCTATCTCGTGTCACTCTTACTACTAAGGAACTTTAAAATGACTCCTCTTCAAGGCAGATTCCTCTTTTCAATAAACTGAAAAGAAAATCTGTCGGAAGACTCGTAATGCTGATTTCTTCAATGAATTATCTACGCTGATTACTGTGTTCATTACTGTAACCTGTCCACCTATGTTATCACCTTGAATTAGTACACGATTAACAGATGAAAGAAGCTTATTTATTCTTGCTGCATCTCTAACTAGAAAGAACTCGGTCAATATCTCTGTGCTAAAAAGCAAGTCGAAGATCTACACATGACCAACCCAATGCACGAAGTATTTTTGAAGTATTACCTTGAAATATATATATATACCAGCCTACAAGAGTACTCCATTATTCAAAATAAATGTCATTGGACAAACTGTTGCTTCCTAGAAGAAAAAATGTTATGTGGACAAAGAAATGCGCAAACACAATTACTTTCAGAGAAGTAATACAACTAGGATCCTACACTAACTTAGAAACGAAAAGCAGTTTGGTTGCTTCCCCTCTCTTTGGTAAATCCCAATTTCCATCCCTCTTTATATCCTAAAACCCCAAATATAAGTGCTTTATAGTTTAGTCTGCGATAGCACTCTTGAAATAAGACAAACAGTTCTTTTGATTCCTCATTAGCACAAATCTCCGCACTTCTCTAATCCGGTTTTATACGTGGGTTTTCAAACACTAATGATTCAAAAAATTAACCTTCTATAATATTCAACACTGTCACTACGCATAATATAATGCACAAAGGCAGCTAACCATGTCAGGGTCCAAAGTATCAATAGCATAAAGTCCATATCTGTCTTGCGGAACCTCAATGCTTGTGTCAGGGTCTAAATTGGCAGTTCTACCTGTTTCAAAATAAATCAGTAAATTATTAACACCTAAAAAGTTCTTTTTATTGTTTTACAATAAAGATAAACATAAAAATGCAGCCTTTAAGAGTATATCACCAGAAATTTATCAAAAACGGATGAAAAGTAAAGTTACCAGTAGAAGGGTCAAAGCGACACCATAACTTGTCACAAAACTCATGGTCAGCACCAAGGATTCGGACCCAAACCCGCTCGGTTCGACCTGTTTTCTTATCAATGGCGTTGAGGATCGACCCGGCGATACCCGGAACTAATAAAACCGGGTCAAGGGTTGGGTCAATGTACTCCTGAGGCTTCTTAATCAGCTTCAGCCACATCTCTATTGACTTCACCAGCTCCTCTAATAACACCGCCATCTCACCCAACGACTAAAAACCCTAATAAAATTTAAAGGTTTATTAGACGAATTGAAGAAAAAAGGTGTATATTTTTGATTGGACGAAATTGAAGAAGAAAAATAGTGATATTTAGGGCAGCGGAATTTTGAGGGTTGTTTTGATAAGGGAAAGAGGAGGAGTAAGGTAGCGATTCGGTAACGGAGAAGAGCCGTGGATTTGACGGAAAGTGACTACAGATTTGGAAGTTTATTTGCTTATATTATTTGAGACTCAATGATGATTGTCATAGCTGAATTACTATTTTACCCTTAAAGATAGGAACGAAGTGTGCATGTGTTTCACGGAAACAAAAATCGGATGGTTCAATAGAGAAAAATGTGGAACTGGATTTCGTACCGCGATTCAAAGAAACGTAAACATCATCGGTAAAAGAGAGCAAATTCGTTTTGGTTCTATATAGCCTGTTCCGCCCAAAAAAAAAAAAAAGTATTTTTTTGCCAAAACTAAGGTATTGGTCAAGCTTTTTGAAATAATTTTTTTTTAAGTAGGAACAATATTTGAAAAGTAAAAAAAATAGTTTCTCTCTAAAACTACTTCATTGAAAAGTATTTTTGAGAAAAAATTGGGTCAAACATTAATTACTGCTCAAAGTACTTTTTAATTAATTAGTTAAAGACAAATTGTTTCTCCCTAAAAATATTTTTCGAAAAATACTTTTGAGAAGAACACTTTTTAAAATAAGTTGAGTTTAGAAACTTGGTCAAACAAGCTATGTCAAACAAGCTATTAACTTGAATTCAAGTTGAAGGGAAAAAGTTTTACAAAACTGAATCAGTATAGTGATATGCATGTTGTTTGATTTGTGAATTTAAAAGAAAAGAATATATACACAAATTATTTCTTCCTCTTGATTGGTGAATCATGCCACAATCTGTTGGAGGTCCGTATTTGACCAAAAAACGTAGATCTTGGTTTAACTAATTAAACTTATATAAATGAGGATAAATCTTTGCTAACAATAATATCCTAAAAAGAAGCTCCTAGCAGAATAACGAATGATGCACAGATTTGTTCCAATAGGTATGCTAGCAAGCAATAGTCAATAATCAAGAATCAAAATAGAAGTAATGCAACATTGAATGTAGATGAACAATAATAAATGGCATTTATGTAAATAGATGGAAAGGAGTCACCTAAGACAAGTAGTAATGAATATTCTCCCTGACAATCGCGAATGATAGATCAATCTTTGAGTGCCCGAGATATTCTCGGATCTAGTGAAAAGTGTAGGCAAGAATCTTCAGAAAAAGGTTGTTTTTGTGTGCTTATGATTGAAACCCAATTTTATCTTTCTCCGGTCAAAAGTGTCTTTTACAAAATGAATATCACATGTCCCTTATCATTGTATCTCTTTCTATTTATAGGGAACATGTTCCTAAAAACCCTAATAGTACAAGTGCAGAGATTATCCACTTAGAATATTCTCTTTTATGTCCTATCTTGAAACTAGTCGTTATAACTCTATCAAGGGTGCTCGACCTCGGCCTTGATCCTTGATGACTCTTCGACCACGGCCTTCATCGTTGATTAGATCACTTCGACACATGGCGACCTGGAGAGGTTTTATTGACGTCATTTTGACTTATATTCTAGAGATAGATTTGGACCATAAAGTTAGTCCCTCCGCTTATTGAGGCCGGTTTTGCGGGCGGGTTCGATGTCATGTTGTTGGTGGTCGAGCTAGTTGAGCGGACTGCACGAGTCGTTGTTATCATGACGAGCAGGTCACGTGGCCCTCTGTGAGCCGAACATTTTAAATTGCTTCGAATTTCCCGGGCGATTTGTTAGAGTTATATCGTCCATAGGCCAGGGTGACGTCATAATGTCATGCGTCATAATGGCGCATGTTCCCAATGTGTTGCTTTGTTTTTCGTGTGACCTTTGATTAGACCTGTCGCTTTGGTTCTAACGTCAATCATGAGGAACCGTTTTCAGTTTCGGTGCCATGATCTTGATAAATAGAGATCTTTGAATCCAATTTTGGAGTTTACACTTTCTAGCGTTTTTAAGACACCCTATTTCTTTCCTACTTTATTCTTCTCTAAATTTCTTCTGTTTCCAGTGACCTATATTCTTTTTCATTCCTTTTTTTTTGTTTCTTTACCACGTCAAATCATGCCTGAAGTGCCTTCTAACACTGGTGAGGGGAGCCGTGTTGCTCCCTTGGCAGTGGTATTCCCCTATCGTGGGAAGAGTGTTCCTACCACCGTCGAGGATGAAACTTTCCCGTCGGTGGAGGAAATAGTCCCACGCAACCCTGATTCCAGATCCGATTTTACCAAAACACCAAAGGTTGTATTTGGAGATTTTTGATAAGTGATGATGGTAAAGGAATTAGCGGAGTTCAAGGCCAAATTCGGCCTTTCTGATCATATCGAGTTGATCTTGCTAAAGGGGACGCAGTACAGGTCTACCGTCCCAGGTATTGTGTTATCCATGCCTATCCTTTCTAAGTTGGCTATTTTTTCCCGCTCCATCCGCTGGTCGAGGAGTTTTGTCATCACTGCGACATTTGCCCTGCTCAGTTTGCATCGTACATCTATAAAATTATAAAGATGCTTAGCAAATTTGCCAAGCTAGTTGGGGTCGAACTGACACTTCGGCACTTAATACACCTATTCACCCCTAGCTTTTATAAGGGAACGATGTTGAATCTTCGTCACCGAGGGGGCAAATGTTTGGTGGTGAAGATGGATGACATGGACAACCGTCAATTCTGGTTCAACTTTATTTTTTTTGGTCAGAACCTGGACGTGGTAGCCAATGTCGATGGTTTTTATGAGGCCTGGAACTATACTCGTAAGTATCTGGTTTCTCTACTCGTAGGTACTTGATTTTTCCCCTGGTTCGGCCATGGATTTTGACCTCTTGCCTTTTTCCTTTGTAGCCAAAACCTCGCCTACTCCTTTGGTCGCTCATTGGGTTGAGCGGCTCCTCCCTCACATCGTAGGGATCCGTGATTGGCCAAGTTTTTTTCAAGAAATTTAGGCTCGCTCTCCTTCCGATTGGTAATTTCCTTTCTTTGATCGTGGTCGCTCCTTTTTCTATTATGTACGTTTTCCCTTTGCTGACTTAACGATGTCCTTTTGTCAAGCAGGGGTTCTCGAAAGATCCAGGCACCGGTGCCTGATAAGTGGGGATTTTGACTACTTATTAGCATATTTTCACTTTTGTTTAGTATGAAAGTATTGATTTATGTTCCCGAAACTAATGAAAGTGTGCAAATTGCAGGAATGTTGGAAGTTTGGTCTCCAATGATGCAATCTGACTAAAAAAGGAGTGTTCTGAATCACAAGGCAAGAAAGGGCGCAAAACTAAAAGAGTACGGTCCGCAGAAGGATTTCTGCAGCCGCAAAAGAAAGCGCAGACTGCATGATTCCTTCTACGGCCGCAGGTCATGTGAAAGAGCCCAGCAGGAATTTGGCCAATGTGCAGACCGCGCATGAATTGTGCGGACACATAACAAGGTCTACACTGATAAATGATTCAAAGTTCAGAGAGTGTGCAAAAGACCAAGACCTGAAGCCTTGTTGAAGTGCGGACCACACAAGAATTGTGCGGCCGCAGAAGATGCTTCGCAGTCGCAATTCAGAATTGTGCGGCTGCAGAATCCAAGATCCTGCCAACTGAAGAAATCTGCGGACCGGACATGAAATTGTGCAGCCGCAGAATCTCCTGAGGGGCATTTTTGTTAGCGAATTTTGGACTACTATAAATAGACAAGTTTCACATTTTTAGGTAAAGTTTCAAAGTTTGAGCAGCTATAGCCGTTACCTTTTGCCATTTTTGGAAGTTTGTGATTATTTTAGTGTTTAAAAATTATATTTTATTATTTTAATCTTTGATTATGAGTTTAATTAGCATTTCTTCTTTATTTTCTTCAATTTCCACTATGAGTAGCTAGATTCTTACTAGGATTGTCACCCAACCCTAGTGTGTAAACCTTATAGGTATTTAATTTAATGCTTGTTTATGATTGGGTGTTGATTATTTAGCTTAGTTCATGCTTCAATTTTAAAATTAATAGTTGCAAACATCAATTTATGCTTTTTTGACTTAGTCTCTACTTGAGAAAGAGGGACCTAGTCTAGGATAACTTGGCTAACAAGGAATTGGATTAATTGAGAGTTTGATTAGCCTAATTAAAGGGTTCAAACTAGAGATAGTGAGAACCCGACTTGAGCTCCTATAAACTATTTTGTTTGAGACTCATTTGGACTTGAGAAAGCCGAATTGACAAAATTCCTCTTTGACCGAGAGGTATTGAGTGGGTAAAGCAGAGTTGAGACCTATAATACACCCCAATCAACAAATAAGTATTAATGTATTTAACCCATTAGGCGAATACCTAGGTTATGGTCTTTTTAACTATTTGGAAAGCCACCAAAATAATCATTCGCTTCTAGTTTCTTTTTTAAGCATACAATTGTTAGAGTAAAAGTAGAATTAGAAATCAAAACCTTTTGTGGAAGTGCAAATTTAGTTAATTCATTTGCTCTCGTCAAGTGTATACTCCTAACACAAATTGTAACTCACTGTGGAAATCGACCCCGACTCTTAGTAGATACTATTCTTCCAACGACCATTTCCACTCACTATTGAGTGCGATTGGACGTGGATCAATTTTTAGCGACGTTGCCGGGAAGTTAAAATGGTGTTAGCTATATATTTGGGTTTGTTTTTAGACTATCTTCTTTTCCTTCCGTGTTACTAATTCGTGCAAAAATTTTTAGGTACAACTATGGTGGCAAACAATGATCTCGAAAATGTGCCTGTGGGGGATGTGGACGGCGAGGATGAGAAAGTTGAGGAGGTACCTCTTGAACCTCTAGCTGATAGAAGAGGTCGAGTGCCTCATGACATTCTACCCGCTCCATCCCCACCTCCATCACGAGCGGCTCCACACTAGGTATTACCTGATGAAGGATATGCTAGTGCAATAGTCCCTCCCCATATTAGGGCGGGCAACTTCCAAATCACCAATGTGATGCTCACTTTGCTTGAGCAACGGGGTTTCTTCACTGGTGCTCCAACTTAAAATGCGTAAAAATATTTGAAGGGGTTTGTGGATACTTATTGTGGGAGAAAGCAAACGAATGTCTCCGAGGATGCATTGAGGCTAAGGCTTTTTCCCTTCTCTCAACGGGGGAAAGATTTAGATTGGTTGGAACGATTACCGA